TGTTTGTATAATATAAAGGTTCTTAGACTTATTATCTTATTTATATACATGTTTATTTTAAGTCAGATACTTGTATCGTTTTAATTAAGGGTGCAAACAATTCAATATTTAATAAATTATTTTTTAAGAAATTTTACATAATAATAGAAAATAAAAATAAAATAAAAATCTTATTAATTTTTTAAATTGAGAGTACTGAATATTTTTGAAATTGTGTTTAAGATCAATATAATTTAAATTTATTATAAACTAATCCATATATTGTATACAGTACATGCTATGTTATAAGATAATTATAATATAATAAGTTTTTCAGAAAATTCAATACATACATCCCTATTTAAAATACTCTACAAACAAACATGTATATGGAAGAATTAAAATTTTAAAATTTATAAGACATGGTCTGGTATATAAATAGTTTATTTTATGTAATTAATCATATGCTAATATGTTTGATGATACAAAATGTCAATTTTCTAAAAAATATTTAATTTTTAATACAGCCTAATATGTCTATTAAGTGGACAGTGATTGCGTGTTTAGTAGGGTTTCACTCTACCCTGGGAGTCCATCTACCGGATATACCCTGGAACTCATCTAATCCAATATTCCGAACCGATAACCAGGATCACATAATCGAAGTTAACAAGGATAATCCAGAGTACGAGTACGATACTATAAATATAGATTGTCCTAGGTATCCTAATCATACGCCCAAGGAGCTCATGGAGACTTTTATCATCTATAATGTAAGAGAGCTAATATTAGTAAAATTAAAATTAATTTATAAAATATTGTATAATAGGTACCAAAATCAGATTACGACTCGTGTAACATAACCAACCCGTGGGACGTTCACATGATCGTAGTGTGCGATAAACCATTGTCGAACCGATATCACAGGATAACGTTCCGGTCTACTATAATCTTGAAAGTGAATAAAATTTTAATTAATAATTTATATTAATAAAATATAAAGCATCTACATACTTTATATCCACGAAAACTATTAATTATAAATAGTTTCCAGCAATAAAATCCAACGAATAGGTAAAGACCCCGGTGAAGACTATAGGAATGGCATTGGGAGTTAACGATAAGAACATAGTAATGACACGGATAACTTATCCAGGGGACACAGTGAGTTTCGAATGTGAATATCATGAACTAGTAGTAATGTTATAAGTAGCAATTCAATTTTATTGTATTGTGTGAAAATAACATTTTTATTTTATTTATTTTAGGCTATATTAAGCTAAATGGACATGTGTTCTATTAATTGAAAAGTACTCGGGTACAAAATAATTAATTTTTTCATATCGATAGCGTTAAAGATATTGCATTCTAATATCCATTAGACGTAAACTCAAAATTAATGATATTGTTTATCATACACAATTTTCCTAATTAATTAAATAATCAATTAAAATAAGTGTATAGGTATAATATTTATGCAAATTGTTTCCATTTATTTGTTGCTACAGAATAAGCGGCAATCGTTTAGCATTGAAAACTTAGTAATGTAGACCAAAAGCTTTAAATTAACAGCTTACTCATACAAAATCTATGATTTTAATTTAAAGCTTTTGGTCTACATCACTAAGTTTTCAATGCTAAACGATTGTCGCTTAATTAATAAATCGTATGACAAATATTAAAATTAATGTTTTTTGATTTATTAACGTATACTTGCAAAAATACAAATCAATTATTTTATCTCAACTAACTATTGAACAAAATACTAATAACGATAAATGAATTTCAAAATTTTAAACTAAAAATTAATAATTATTTATTTTAAAAAGTTAAAAATAAGTAAGAACATTGATTACTTATATTTAATAATAATTATATAATAACTTTCATAATTTAAAGTTTATAACTAATCAAACTAATCAAGTTATTGTTTATAATATATAAAATATAATTTTCTGATTATTTTGTAATTTATTGATTCAAGCGATACGTTTCCACAACTTTATGGCCGTATTTATGGGTCTATTCTCGCCTTTTGTCGTATAAATCAATATCTTATTCAACGCTTGCATACCATTCCACTGACCCTCCCGTACATCATATAACTGTTCCTTAGGAATGCCATTCAGTGCCCCATCCGTCCCAGTCTCGGCACCGGTAGCAAAAACTTTACGAGTTGAATAGTTAGCTGGTTGAATTTGTCCAAAAACTCCAGAATCTCCACCCTCTGCCCTAAAGAATAATCCAGAATATTCTTTGGTTACATCAGCCCATGTAGTCAGTGGCCAGAGGTGTCGGGGCTCCGACTGGTTGGGAAGTTGCGTGTATATAAATCCAATAGGTATGGCAAAAGTGGTAGCTCCCAGATCTCCCTGGTAGAAGTAGTCATTTTGCTCGGTGTTCACAGTATTATTAGGATTATTCTGTTTTCCCGTAGACTTATCATTGAGTCTGTTTGCTGCCATAGAGTTAACATTGGTATTGCGTTCACGTAATAGTAAATTGATAATATTTTGTTGGGCGTTTACGATCTGGGTCAGATTTTCGAGGGCAGTGCTCACTATATTCATAGTCCACTCCTGGCGCTTCTGACAGACAACTAAAGCCCGGCGCCCACACGGCTCTGAATACCATTTGCCCATAAAGTTAACATTGACTGACATTTGCACACAGAACCCAATGGATACCATACGATTACCCTGGTAGCTATCGTAAATTCGCGTTGAGTACTCATAGGGTGTGTCATCGACCCAGTTGCTATAACTATGGACATTGCTATTATTCATACCTGTCCATACTTTGTCCGTAATGCTACTATAGTTAGCGATAAAGTTTGTAATAAACTCCTGTTCCTCTTTGGAGCTAATGGTGATCAGTGAGGCCTTGGGGTCCAGTGTTAGACATTCCTGAAGAGCCTGAGTTTTTGTCACCCTTTTTGATACGACTTTATAGCACTTCTCCTTTTTATAGGTAATCCAATTGTCGCATAAATTCAAGTCAACTGTCGCTTGAAATAAATCTAAAAATCATGTAATAATTATTTTTAAAATTTATTTATGATTATAATGTAGTAAAATATTAATATCAAGTTATACTCTACCAGCAATGCTTAGCAGTATTGACAAAATAATAATTGATTTAAAAATCATTTTATGTTATTTTAATTTTCTTAATTCAAAATGGGTATATAACAATATAAAAATTATATTTAAAGTACTATAAGTTTTAATATAAACCATACACTTGAGTCAGTTTTATATAACTAAATGTTACTATTATAAGATTGATGCTTAATAATCAGTGATTATATACATAACTAAGTTATGTTAATATTCATATTAACAGAGATTAAAAGGATGTTTATTTTAATATGTCCATGAATTTGCATATCACTTACAATTATGTATTACATATCACATAAATATTTTTTTAAAATTTATTAACTACGACTTATTAGTTTCAAAGTTAAATTTTAAAACTAAATCTTTACTATAGTATGTAATAGATTGATTAAAATTATCATGGTCATCGTAAATATTGATGGATATAGTAGAGTATCAGCACTTGTAGTATCACTCTTTTTGTAACTATCCGGTGTACGGGAAGGGTAGGCTGCGGTTTCGTCATACCAAATTAAATTAATACGGGAACTGGTGGTGGCGGGAGTGGTAGTGGAGGTGGTGGTGGAAGTAGTAGCTGTGGTAGTAGAGGTGCTGGTAGTGATGGTGGTAGAGGTAGTGGTAGTGATAGGAGTGGCAATAGTTGTGGTGAAGGTGGTGGTGGTGGTAGGTGTAACCAACAATGGTTTTCTATTATCAAATATTTTGAACATGACTTTCATGTGATGCGATTTACACAACACGGGTGGTTGGGATGGTATTGTCGGTAGTGTTATAAAGTAGTAGTCGTGTCCGGGCTTGAATTCCAGGCCACCCGGTTGTGATGGGAATGGCCGGAACGTTATCCTGTGATATCGGTTCGACAATGGTTTATCGCACACTACGATCATGTGAACGTCCCACGGGTTGGTTATGTTACACGAGTCGTAATCTGATTTTGGTACCTATTATACAATATTT